TTGTCAAGCTTTCGAAGAAATAGAAATGAAAAATAGATAACGGTGGGAGGGGGAAATTCGAGTATGTCTCATCCGCTAAAATCAACGATAATTTGACGCGAGGAATCGATCTCTAACACGTTATCGAATTCTGCGTAAACTATACAATTAATCGTTGAGGTAATAGCTTTTTCAAATCGTACCTCTAATCGTAAACTTCCATGTCTGACAAGATTCCAATGTCCAGCGCAATTTGCCGATAGATCGGGAGTGAGATCGAAAGCAAAAAGCGTGAAACCTTTGGCATAATCTTCTCTGCTTATAGAATTCCCCTCGTTTAGAAAATGGATGCCTGTTCCTGAGAAGAGGGTGTTATAAGCCTCGACATAGAGCGGATGGTCTTTTGAGAAATTCGATTGCAGCGATCTACTCGGAATTTGCACGCCATCGGCATATAGCGAGAAGAAATTTATGCCGTAATTTTTGAAATTAAATGGATTTAACTTTCTGTCGCCGTTAAACGCTTTGTTATCGACGAATCCGACTATTACTCGTTTCGGAAGTTGCCCGAGTATCGCGTTATCAATCGATTCTCCTACCACTCCAGCGTGAATCGTGAATGTTTTAACCTCGACTCGCGTCAGAGGATACTTGGCGGTTGTTTTACTCAGCATTCGCGCATGTTCGAGTAACACTGCGGGGCTTATTTTTGCTCTTCTTATGAGTAAACTAGCATCTAGAATGCGTATTTTCGACGTTGAGTTGCTTTCCATGAGGCAAAACGCATCTCTCGAGCGAACGAGTCTCATTTCCTCCTCTCCGTTAATTAAAAATTAAAAATTTATCCTGATTAAAGACGTTAATTAAAAATTTATCCTGATTAAAGACGTCGCAATGAAGATGACCTATTAGATCTACCGAACGTTCTCCTTGGATGTATCGGGCGCGTCTCACGAGAGCTTGATTGGGGTTGTCCGATTCTAATAGCGCGTCCATATAACCGGGTTCGTCCGTGTCCCATAGACAGGAAGTCAGATGGGAAGTTTTTGCCGGTGAAGAATAATTTAACAATGCTTCGATGTACGCGCGGTACGCGTAGGCGTTGTTTGGGGGTGATACGAGTTTTTGATTGAAGTACACGTCGATCTGGTTGAACATCGAATGTAGTAGATGATT